TCAAGAGAATGAATCACACCATTTATCTCAGACATCAGTCCCAGGAGAAGGTGACCTCCCTTATGCAAGTGTCTTTCTCTGTTGTTTGGACTGGGAGATGAAAGAGCTTCTTCCAGACACATCACCTTCAGATGTTCTGTGAGGTAAGAGCCAGCTCTGCCTGATGTTACCAGGTAGGAATGGTTGCCACTATCTGTCTTTCCTCTGGCTCCCCTCAGCTCCTACTCACTCACTCTTTAACCCAAGTTCTAGGCTATCTGTTGTGTATGGAAAGAGCAGTCACTCCTGGCTGAATTTATATGAACATTCTTCAGTAAGAACTGACTTTTTCCTTCAAAACCTGGGTTTTTTTCCGTGCAATTCAGTCATTCTCAGCTCTTTGTGTCCCCCTGTTGTCACTTACACTTCTGCTTAGTAGGAACTCTTTCTCCTCTTCCCCTACAGCATCCCAAGCCCTCCACAGCTGACTCCTCTTCCTCGTGTCCTCTCACACGATGCCTACAAATCTTAACACAGTCGTTGCCTTAGAGACTGGGTGTGGGTACAGGCTCAGTGCCCCAGGTGTCAGCAAGGGCAGCCTGGCGGGGTCCCCGCAGAAGATGCCGAGGGTCCCGTGGGTCTGGCGTACCCTGGCACACTCCGCCATGTCGCATCTCACAGCAATAATCTCAAACAGAAAGACTAGGTATGGAAAATGGTGCTTAAGGAGTTTCCTCTGGGCAGTGCCACGAGACAGTGCTCCGTCTCCCTCTAGTGATGCCTGGAAGCAGGAAAGCAGTCCCTGCGTCACTGCCCAGGCAGGCTTTTCTCTCCTCCAGCGCACAGGAAGCCCAAGTTCCCACCTGACCAGCGGTTCCCATCTCTGTCTGCAGAACAGAGCTCTGGTTCAGGGTCTGAATCGTTAATTAAAGTAGGAAGCCGTCCTATGGAAAAGCTGCAGTCTCTCGGGCAGCCCGATGTAGCAGAGGCCACTCTGCTGCTGCTGGACAGGAGTGGTCCTTTGGGTCTGGAGAAAACCATTCACACCTGCAGTTTGCACAGTGGTAAAGCAGGAGCTTGCAAAATGGTCTCATTGCCCTATGGGGGTGTAACCGGTCTCCTTGGTGTAGGCACTGGTCCTGTGTGCTGATTTGGGCTGGAGTAGAGTAAATTTTCTTCACAGTAGCAGGTATGGGGCTGTGTTTTGGATTTGTTCTGGAAACAGTGCTGGTAACAGAGGAGTGATTTTGTTCCTGCTGAGTAGGGCTTGCACGGGGTCAAGGCCTGTTCTGCTCCTCACCTCACCCCACCCCACCAGTGAGATGGCTGGGGGAGAGAATTTGGGAGAGGACACAGCTGGGGCAGCTGACCCTAACTGACCACAGGGACATTCCATACTATGTGGCATCATGCTCAGAATATAAAGCTGAGGGAAGAAGAAGAAGGAAAGGGAGGACATTTGGAGTGGTGGTGTTTGTCCTCCCAAGTCACCATTATGTCTGCTGGAACTGGCTTTCCTGGGGATGGCAGAACACCTGCCTGCCCATGGAAAGTGGTGTATGAATTCCTTGTTTTGCTTTGCTTGTGTGCACAGCTTTTATTTTACCTGTAAAAGTGTCTTTATCTCAGCCCACAAGCCTTCACTCTTTCCCAATCCTCTTCCCCATGGGAGTGAGAGGCTGTGTAGTGTTGAGTTAGCGGCTGGGGTTGAAACACATAGCTTGCTCAGAAAATGCCCTGGATTACTTTCATTGAGGAAGACACCTCCCAAACCTGCTCTCTCTAAATAGCCTCATGTGGCAGGGGATAAACACAGTGTCTACTGTCACATCACAAAAACGTAGTGGAATGACTCACATGACTAGACTGGTGCCATGGGTGGCTACAAGCTCTTCAGAAGGGAAAGGCAAGGTAGGAGAGGTGGAGGGTGGCTCTATATGTTAGAGAGTCTCTTGATGCTGTAGAACTTGAAGTCAGTAACAAAAAGATTGAGTGCCTGTGGATCAGAATCAGGGGAAAGGCCAACCAGCCTGACATCCTGGTGGGAGTCCGTTATAGACTGCCCAACCAGGATGAGAAGGGTGATGAATTATTCTACAAGCAGCTGGCAGATGTCTCAAAATCACCAGCCCTCGTTCTTGTGGGTGACTTTAGCCTGCTGGATGTCTACTGGGAACTCCACAAAGTGGAGAGGAGGCAGTCTAGGAGATTCCTAGAGTGTATAGAGGATAATTTCCTGCTCCAGCTGGTAAATGAGCCTACCAGGGATGGGGCCCCACTAGACCTGTTCATGAACAGAGAGGGGCTGGTGGGAGATGTGGTGGTTGGTGGCCATCTGGGGCACAGTTTTCAATACTCAGGGATGCAAGGAGGACCATCAATAAAACCTCTACACTGGCCTATTCAGAAGACTAGTTCAGAATTACCCTGGGAAACAACCCTTGATAAAAAAGGGGTCCAGGAGGGATGGACATGCTTCAAGAAGCAAGTCTTGAAGGCACAGGAACAGGCTGTCCCACTGTGCTGAAAGGCAAGCTGGCGAGGGAAGATGACCGATCTGGCTGAACAGGGAGATTTTGAAGGAAATTAGGGTAAAGAAGAGAGCCTACCGATTATGGAAAAAGGGGCTGACTACTCAGGAAGAGTTTAGGAATATAGTTAGGTCGTGTAGAAAGAAATTAGAGAGACAAAGGCACAATTTGAACTCAATCTAGCCACTTCTGTGAAGGATAAAAAGAGTCCTTCTACAGATACATCAGTAGCAAAAGGAGGGGCAAGGAAAACCTCCATTCTTTATTGGACATGGGCAGGAATATAGTTATCAAAGATGAGGAAAAGGCCTTCTTTACCTTTCAACAGTAAGACAGGTTCTCCTGAGGACAGCTGGCTTCTGGAGCTTGTAGAAGGACATAAGAATCTGAATAGCCCCCCTGTAATCCAGAAGGAAACAGTTAGTGACCTACTGAGCTGCTTGGATCCCCACAAGTCTATGGGATCAGGTGGGATCCACCCAAGGGTGATGAGGGAGCTGGCAGAAGAGCTCACCAAGCCACTCTCCATCATTTACCAACAGTCCTGGCTCACTGGGGAGGTCCCAGATGATTGGAAGTTGGTGAATGTCACACCCATCCACAAAAAGGGCCGGAAGGAGGACCTGGGAAAGTACAGGCCTGTCAGTCTGACCTCAGTGCCTGGCAAGGTTATGGAGCAGATTATCCTGAGTGCAATCACACAGCACCTACGGGATGGACAAGGGATCAGACCCAGCCAGCACGGACTTAGGAAGGGCAGGTCCTGTCTGACCAACCTGATCTCCTTTTATGATCAGGTGACTCGCCTGGTGGATGAGGGGAAGGCTGTGGATGTGTCTACCTGGACTTCAGCAAGGCCTTTGACACCATCTCCCACAGCATGCTCCTGGAAAATCTGCAGCCCACAGCTTGGACAGGGGCACTCTGTGCCAGGTTAGGAACTGGCTGAAGGGCTGGTCCCAGAGAGTGGTGGGGAATGGGGCTGCATCCAGTTGGGATCCAGTCACTAGTGGTGTCCCCAGGGATCAGTGTTGGGCCCAGTTCTATTTAATATCTTTATTGATAATTTAGATGAGGATATTGAGTCCACCATCAGCAAATTTGCAGACGACACTAAGCTGGGGGGAGTGTCAATCAGCTGGAAGGCAGGAGGGCTCTGCAGAGGGACCTGGACAGGCTGGAGAGTTGGGCTGATTCCAACGGGATGAGTTCAACAGGGCTGAGTGCTGGGTCCTGCACTTTGGCCACAACAACCCCCTGAAGCCCTATAGACTGGGCACAGAGTGGCTGGAGAACAACCAGGCAGAAAGGGACCTGGGAGTTTGGATTGACAGGAAGCTGAACATGTGC